ATCAGTGTGCATGCAAACTGCAGTATAGTGAAACATTTGAAAGATACTTTGGATGATCAGCATTTTGAGATGTTTAGAAGAACATGTTTTGGTTATTTTGTGGACTTGCCCGAATTTTTTATACAGAACCAACTTATCCATTCACTATTGCTTAGGGAAGTGGTGTCACCTAAAGATGATGAGTTATGGATTAAAGTGAATAGCACCAAGTTGCGCTTTGGACTTGCAAAATTTTATATTATCACAAGTTTAAAGTGTAATGGTGATCCTAATAAGGATTATGAATCTGTCAAGTCGAGTCGATTGATGGAATTGTACTTTCCAAGCATGTCGAAAGTGTCTAAGAAATTGTTAAGTAAATGTTTCTTAAAAAAGATGTGGAAATCTGATAAGGACGCATTAAAGATTGTAGTATTGTATTTCATTCACAGTTTCCTATTTTCTATTACGAATGATGATTTGATAACAAAGAATAATTTTCTGTTGGTTGAATTTGGTGATTGTGAGACTTTCCCTTGGGGAAAAGTGATTTTTACTGCTACGTTGGAGTTAATGAAGGATAAGGTTTATAACAAGAGAGAGATGTACCGATATGGTGGTTTGCCTTTGGCATTCCAGTGTTGGTTTTATGAATGTTTCCCCTATACTCATAAAAATCTCACTTACCGGATTAGAGATCTTATGCCACGCTTACTAAACTGGACTGTAAAGAAGAAGGTGACCTTCGAGAGGTTGAGGAAAGAATTTTTTCTTTTAAGTCAAGCGCAGGTAAAAAATTATTTTTGTTTAGTTTACAACATTTTGTAGCAATACATATGAATCTACTTTTGATAAATAAATTATGCATTTCTGATACATAAACTATATATTTTTAATACATAATATCAATTAACTGTATGATGTGTAGTTTCTACAAGTAATATATTGGTTGTCTTTTATTTATTAAAAATTTCATGATTGCTAAGTTTTTTTTATTTGTAGTTGGTGTTTGGTAATATTGCCCCAACAAATATTGAACAAACAAGGCTTGAATTGCATGATTTTGTCCCCGTGTATGAAGATCAAAATGCTGAAGTTAATCCATGAGATGATGTTGATGATTTCAACACTCAACCTAAAAAAAATGCTAAGAAGCACCCCAAAAATAAACTGAAATCACAACCTATCAACAATGAGAATATGGATCCACAGCCCAGTAACTTGAGTTCAAGCGAGAATGAGCTGAAATTTCTGAGAAGTGAAATCAACACTGTACAGTTCTATTTTGGCTTTGAGCAGTTCTGACAACTTAATTGATATTCAGTTTCACTTTTTCTTTTATAGGTAAATGACAAGGTTTCATCTTTGGAGCAGTTAATGATTGTCTCATTTGAAAAGGTTTTTAAAGCTCTAGGTGAACACGATACTTCAAAGGTATTCTCATGACTATGCTTATTTATTATTTTTACCCGTTGCTATAATTTTTACAACCTTTTGTATAATTTTTTCTGAACAGGGTAATAGAAAAGAGGATGACCATTATGATAGTCATGGCCATTATGATACTGGTGATATTCATAAAGATTATTTTGACGATAAGGAAGTTGCAGAGAATAATTTTGGTAGTGAGGAAGTTATGGAGAGAAATATTGGCAGTGAGGAAGTTGTAAAGAAAAATGTTAACACTGAGGTAAGTCTAGAGAAAACTGTTGTTGTTATGGAGGGTGTGGTGAAGGATTCTATAGAAGCTGGTAAAAGTAGTGAAGGAGTTGGTGATGACGAAGCCTTGATTGAGGAAGCCGAGCCTAAAATCACTGCAATTACCCATAAGTTTTGTAACAAGTTGTTGGTGGAGGATTCTGTACAAGTTGTTGGTAAAAACAGTTGTGAGGAAGTTGGTGAGGACAATGGTTGGACTAGTGATATTGAGGTTCAAATAACTACAATCACCCAAAAGTATTTCAATCAAAATATTGTATATGGTGATTGTTTAGGAGTGGATACAAATATTGCTACTATGCAGGAAGATCGTATAGTTGTTGTTGATCATGACACACCTGAAATGATCCCTAGAGAAAGAACATCAGCAGGAGTCATGAAGTCACCATTCATGAACCAATTTGACTCTGGTGGCACCATCCAAGTTGCTCAAGATAAGCCAACTAAGTCAAAGAAGCCCATCTTGACAAATAAGTCCATCTTCACTATAAAGTATCCTTTTCAGGGAAATGTTAGACAATCCTATTGATTTTAGAATATTGTGTAAGTGGAACACTTTCATCAATAGAGGCTTAAGGACTAATGCACCGTAAGTTTTATGTTGCAGTTTTTTCTTTTTCTTGTTTATTTTTCGTGTTTCGTGTTATGAACCATATCTTTTTATCCCGATTCATCAGGGATGGTGTTTATACAGAGATTAGCAATAAGCTAAATAAAATCTTTGAATTTAGAGTTGATGATATTGGAGAAAAAAAATAGTTCTTCACATTTGCATATCCCGGCCTATCCTTGTGTGATTCAGTAAGTCAACGTTATAATGGTTCTTCATATTTTCAGCATATTGATGTTAATTTGTTAGCATAAATACCATTTCTTTTTCTTTTATCCATATTGTAATTACATATAGATTATATCTGTAATAAAATGAGAAATGAGACTCGGTAACCCTTGGATAGTAGGCAGAGAAAAGGACTAGAACAATAATGGCAATAGAAAATATAGTCTCAACTTGGAAGAGTATCTTTTTATGTATATTTGCAGTATCTTCTGTAAAATGTATAATCAGTTTATACATAAAATATACATTTTAGTTTTCTCATACTGTAATGTTCTGACAATGTGTGTTTATTCTTCATATTTCAGCATATTAATGTTATTTTTTACTAATTGAGAAAGACAGGGAAGTACGGTGTTGATGTTCCAGTAAGATTCACAACTACGGACTGTTGGTTTAATTACTTGGTTTCGAATTTGTACAAGAAGTTTTTGGAGAAAAAGAGAGACATGAATTTGATTACTGAAACATATCCAATTGCTGAGTATATACTTGTGTATTTTTTAAGATGTAATGTTCCTTGGTATACTGTCGATGAAGTCCTTTTCCTTATAAATCTGTCTGATAAGTGGCACTGGATATTGGCGAGACTGTCATTCAAAGATCTGCGCATTTATATATACGATTCCATGAGTGGCGCGTGGCAGAATAGTGCAGTTCGGAGATCAATTGAGCCATACTCAGTGTTGCTCCCATATTTCCTTCATCGTATTGGTTTTTGAGACACAAAGGAGAATCCTATGGGAATCCCCACCATTGATCCTTTTGATATTCATGTCATTGATGGGTTGCCAACGCAAGATAACACGTAAATTATTATTGAATATTTCTGATTATTATTCATTTTTTATACATGAATTCCTATTTGGATATTATACTAACTTATTTGTTTATGTGCGACCTTGTATGTAGTGACTGTGGTGCTTATGTTGCTACATTTGCTGAGTATATCCTTCAAGGTAGAAGTATTCCTGAAGCTATTGATATTGATGGGATACGTAATTGATATGGTATATTGCTATGGGATTATGGAGTGAAGAAACAAAGAGCACACGCACTTAGTGATGACGAGTCTACTGGTAGATTGAAGGATCTGGCCAAAAAGGATAACAAGAAAAAGGGCAAGTCGCATTCCGTTGTTGATGACAAGGATTTGAAGGATAACAAGAAAAAGGTCAAGTCGCATTCCGTTGTTGATGACAAGGCTTTGAAAGATAACAAGAAAAAGGGCAAGACGTGTACCGTTGGTGATGACGAGACTTTGAAGGATATCAAGAAAAAAGGCAAGAAAAAGTAGTTTGGGATAGTTTAGTAGAAAATTCACATGTAGTTTTAAGATGAAGTAGTTTGGTTATGATATTGTCTTATGATTGGATACAGTTGCATACTTATATCACGTTTTATACTTTTTGTTTGGGATGTTTTTGAACAATAGGTTTGAAATGCTAATGTTGAATATTACTTTTAATTGCGACTTGTTTGTTTTCAGTTAATAGTGAAATTATGTAAGTTTCAGATTTTGTGTAGTTTAGACTTTTCTACAGTTTTAATTTTGAAATTTATACAGATAATTTGTTTCGACAGGTTTTTCAAATTTAGCTGGTGTTGCTAAATTGTTATAGGAAGTTTTATGAATGAAGTTTGGGGGCAGCTAAACTGTATATAAACTGTGTTGCGACAGTCTATTTTGTATAATTTTGTATAGTAACAGTCCTTTTGTATATATTTTGTATAGTGACATCTATTTTTGTATATTATTTGTATAGTGACATCTATTTTTGTATATTTTTTGTATAGTGATATCTATTTTGTATATTTTTTGTATAGTCACAGTCTATTGTATGTAAATTGTATATACAGTAGTGACGATTTTATTTTTTTTGTATAAATATACAAGTTTTATTTTATATATATTTTGTATAGTGACAATATTTTTTGTATAGCGACATCTATTTTGTATATGTTTTGTATAGCGACAGTTTATTTTTTTATTTTTTTGTATAGGAATAAAATATTATATATAAATTGTATAGTTACAGTCTATTTTGTATATTATTTTTTGTATAAATATACAAGTTCTATTTTGTATATTTTTTGTATAGTGACAGTCTTTTTTGTATAATTTTTGTATAGCGACATCTATTTTGTATATGTTTTGTATAGCAATATTTTATTTTTTTATTTTTTGTATAGGAATAAAATATTATATATAAATTATATAGTTACAGTCTATTTTGTATATATTTTATATATTGTTATCTATTTTGTATAATTTTTTATATAGTGACATCCATAATAGTATTTGGAATGAAATTTCTACCAATACTTTCATTACGACAAAAAAGTAGCATCTTTATTCATACATCAGAGAGAATCTGATTTCAAATCTCATTATTTTTTCATTATTCTAATTGTAACATTCACAAGGAAAAATGTTACAAACTACTAAATCATTGATAAACATCTACTAGTTGTCTTGAGCATTCCTGCATGTTCTTCTGTTGTGTCCTTGTTTTCCACACAGTCCACAGGTAACTGTTTCAGTATACAGATATTCATAAAGTCCCTTGTGTCGCGACTTCGTCGGTCTTCCTGATTTTCCCTTTACTATCGGTGGTAGGACCAAATTATCTAACACCTCTATTGGAAGGTCCCATGTAATTTCATCTGGAAGTGGATTAACTGGAACTTCATATGTCTTCTTGAAGTATTCGTTGGTGTAATAGGCAGAACAATATTTGGGTGCTTCTATGTGTGTGTAGTCCAATACTGCCATAGCATATGGACAAGTAATCTCATCCACTTGAAATCGTTTACACGAGCATTCTTTTTTTTGCAAGCAGACTACGTTCTACCTTTTTTCAACATCCATTATTATAGATACATAATCGGTTGAAGACCTCACCTAAATTTAAATAGATGTCATTAGTAAAATAGGGATATGACAAGTATTAATGCATTTTTGTCAAAGTATGTTATTCAGGTGTATGAAGTAAGACATGATAAAAGAATATTTACCGTCATCTTCTGTGACAAATAGCTATTTTCTTTCAGTACTTCGTTACATTTGTTTCCTAGGCTAGTAAATATACTCATTGCTGTCATTATATTTGTATTATTCCATTCCATAACCAAATTCATCATGTAATCTAGCAAACTCATGATTGGTAGCTCTCTTGCCTCTCTGTTTCTTGCATTGAGTGACTCGGCAATATTTGAAGTCATCACCATGGATCTATTAACAGTGAAATGCGCTATGGACCACTTTTCATAATCAACTTGGAACGGGTAACCCTTTACCCTCTTATCAATGTTGTCCATATCTTGCATGAGGCGATTAAAATTTTTAATTTTGTATGCTCTGGCCATTGCAAAAAATACTTCTCTCAGCCAGTCATGGTTCTTCTTGAACTGCTTCTTTATGTTATTCCAAAGATGAAAGATGCATATATAGTGAGATACCTCTGGATACACAATTATAGCACCCCTCAATATGCTTGCATGACGATCGGATATAATGCACATCCTTTCCCTTTCCCCAAAAGCCTGTGTAAACATTTCAAAAAACCATTCTGAGGAAGCATCATTTTCAGAATCGACAACAGCATATGCTAGTGGAAAAATTTTACCTGGTTAAGCAAACAAGAAAGCATCCACATGTTATTTTTGTTATACATAGATAAGAACTATCTATATCATATATAATTATTATAAGAGTCTGCGACATATTCACCTGTCGCATCTTGTGCGCTAGCTGTTAACATTATTCCCCTATATGATGATTTAAGGAATGTCCCATCAACCACTACAATAGGGTAGCAGTATTTCCATCATATGATTGTTGCATTTAGTGCGACAAAAACATACATGAAGCGCTCGTCCTCTGATTTATGTAACATTATGACAGAACCAGGATTTGTCATATTTATCATATACAAGTGACCCGGCAGTTTACTATAAGATTCGCGTGGTATCCCTCTTAGCAGTTCAAGAGCCTTTTCCTTTGTTCTATAAGCTTTTATGTAACTCATATTAATCCCATACTGTTGTTTCATGTCGCTCATGATGTCTGCTGGAGTGTATATTGTTTTTGGATTGGCATATTTGTTGCAAATCGTTTTTACAATGGCTGACAAAGTAGCATGACGTTGTGAAAATAGTCTACTCATCTCTGGGCAAGTGTGAACATCATTGAACCGTCTAACCTTGAAGACATTGGATTTGTGTAGACTTGAAGATTTAAGACTCCATTTGCAACTTTCATCCACGCATGTAAGACAATACCTATTTAAAATATAGTGTTATGATAATGCACTTCTTCAGATTTTTACACTTGTGTCTCTAATAAACAAGCAATATACATATGCAATCTCATTATACAATAATACAAGCAGTATACACAAAATTACAGAGAAGTTCAATCTCATACGTAGAAATTATACCTTGTTGTAGATGATCTATCCACTATAAATTGACATTTTTTTCGTATTGCGTAGTGCTTCATTACACTAATGATTGTATCTTTGACCCAATATAACTGACCTTCTGTAATTTCTTCATGTTGTGGATTGTCTATTATACAATTTCCCTTCATTATTTTAATTTTGTCTTCTTTTCCATGATTATCCATCATCTCAACAATATTAGTTTCGTGTACTTCTTCTACGTTCTGACATTGTAAACCAGCTGAAGTTGTTGCGAGTAAGTTGCCACCCAAGTATAAACTTGAATATGAGCATACCCAAGTATAAACTTGAATATGAGCATTCAACACTTGAATATAGAGTTTTCAACGTTATGCATAATGGATATTCAGTGATATCCAGGTTTTTCTTTTTCATCTCTATATACAAGCGCACACTCATATAATTATATATTGGAATTGCTATATAGCCGTCCTTCACTGTATAATTTATCTCCATCGCACTTGTAAATGAATCTATATCCAATTGCTTGTATATCTCATCAACAAAATATTCATAACTACATCCCGAATTGATCAGCACGCCATTAATAAGAAAATTAATAAATTTACTTTCACTTACCCATTCACCATTGTGTTGAAGTACAATCGAAATCAAAATTGGAACAGTAGTTCCAACATTCACAATCTCCATAGACATTAGTTAAGTTTGTCGATTTTGTATCAATTTCATAATTTAAGAACAAAATTTTAACTCTATTAAGCTGATTGTAGGCCGCAATTGTGCAAAAACTTTGAATTTCATCGTGAATTTTTTGGAGCTCTTCTCTGGGTTTAATCTTCAGAAACCCTAGAATCTTTTTGACAATGCGAATAATTGGGAGACTTTTATAGTGTTTGGATATTGAAGATCCCATACTGAACGCATGAATTTACGTAACAAAATCGATTAGGAGTGCTTTCCTTTTAGTTTGCGTTGAGCGTATGGTTTCAGCTTTTTCAGTTGCTAGCCTTTATTATTGTTTTTAGGCTATGACTTGTAAAGGGTTATTTTGTGGCTATTAGGTGATATAAGTTTGGCCCTNAATCAATTTTATCATGTTAGTTAGATAATTATGTATTATAGTTTAAAACTAGTTAATGTGATGGTATCTTAAACAACACTTCTTTGTGGACAATATTCTTTTGTGTATGTTTCCTCCTAATGCTTTGGCTGCTCTGCCTTAACTAGAACTCTTGTTGTCGATCTTGATATCCCTCTTGAAAGTGCAACATACAGTTGTTCGTGCAAGAAAACATATTGCGGTAAATATAGTCCAATATTTAAGATATTTTTCCTTGTGCTTTATTTATTATATTTGTAAAACATAAACATACTAAAAATTATTTTCACACAAATTTAAAAGGATATTCCTTGGTTTCGAAAGACGAAAGTTGAATTCAGGAATAAGAATATATATAAAAGCACATTGACCAATATCATAACTTTTGCATGTGTGGCATTATTGTCAAAACTTCTATATACCATATGTGTGCTATTACATAAGCTATTCGGCCAATTTAAGTTTTTCAGTAGTGTAACAACCCAACCGGTCGTTTTGCTTTCTAGATCTCCGTCCCCCTAAATAAGACTCTCAGTATGCACTTTACTGTTTTATGATCTGCGGGGATGGTTAGTTCGGGATTTGGAAGGGTTCGGATCGAAATTGGAACACTTGGTTCCTTAGTTTGGCTTTAAAGGGCTAAGTTTGACTTTGATCAACATTTTGATTAAACGACCTTAGAATCGGGATTTGATGGTTCCAATAGGTTCGTATGTCGATTTTGGACTTGAGCGTATATTCGGATTGTGTTTTGGATGACCCGGGAGCATTTCAACGCTTAATGTTGAAAGTTGGCTTATTGAAGGTTTAAAAGTTCTTTGAATTTGGTTTGGAGTAAGTTTTGGTGTTATCGAGGTCCGTTTGTCATACCGAGCTTGGAAATATTTCTGCATGGTGATTTAAGACTTGCACGTAAAATTTGGTGCCCTTCCGAGTAGTTTAAGTATGAATCAACGCGTTCGGAGTAAGTTGGAAGAGTTTGAAGCTCTAAAGTTGATCCTATTGGTTTTGGGTTGCAATTCTTAGTTTTAATGTTGTTTCCTATATTCTGAGGGTGCGAGCAAGTTTGTTTTATGTTTACAAAGTTGTTGGTATGTTTGGACGAGGCCTCGGGGGCCTCGGGTGCAATCCGGACGATGCACGGATCGATTTAAAGCTCAAAAGGGCTGCTGGTGCACTAGTTCTGGTATGCCCGCAGGTGCTAGCCCGCAGATGCCAGGTCTTGGCCGCAGAAGCGGCTTGGGGAAATTGGCCAGTGGTTCGCAAAAGCAGAGAAGCATGCGTAGAAGCGGCCTCGCTTCTGCGATAAGTAGCCCGCAGGTGCGAGGGTGGGGCTGCAGATGCGCTTCACCATCCGCAGAAGCGGGATCCCGTTCGCAGAAGTGAAGCCAGATAGCCTGGGCATTTCTACAGAAGCGGACCTTGTTCCACAGAAGCGATGCCGTAGATGCGGCCTTATGAGCGCAAATACGGAAGTCATAGTGGCAGAAGGCTTAATTTATTACGGGACTTAAGCCATTTCTAACCTATTTCTCTCACTTTTTGGGCAATTTTGGAGCTTCTTGAGAGGGGTTTTCACCTAGCAATTTGGAGGTAAGTAATTTCTATCCAATGTGAGTTAAATACATAGATTATGGGTAGATTTTAACATATAAATTTGTAAAAATTATGGGTTTAGATGAAAATCCTAGGTTTTGATAAAAATGGGATTTAACCACGTAAATGGTTATGGAATTAGGTAAAAATTATATATTTTAGTTCGTGAGGTTATGGGTAATAATTATCTTCAAATATTTCCGGAATTCGGGTACGTGGGCCCGAGGGTAAATTTTAGGAATCTTCCAATTTTGGTTGGGTAATTACTCTAATAACTAAATCATTAACGTTTGAGCATATATTGATTAATTTATACAATATTTGACTAGTTTCGGATTGTTCGGCACCGAGTTGAGGCTTTAGGGTGAATTTGAGGTTGTAAAGCGAGCTTTGAGACAAGGTAAGTCTCTTGCCTAACCGTGTAAGAGGGAATTTACCCCATAGGTGATTTAAATTAATATTTGCTTCTAATTGTGGGGGCTACCTACGCACGAGGTGACGAGAGTCCGTGTGTAGATATTAATTATGCTTATGTACGGGTAGTGTAGGACCCAAATCCTGAAATACTTGTAATGTTTGCACTCTACTTGCTAATTAAAGTGCCTAAATTATATTAAAACTTGATAAAGGAATTGTAAAAGAACGAACTGCATTTACTTGAGTTTTGGAGGGTTACTTGACCGTTAATAGAAATTGTGCTCCTTTGCATATTAGCCTTGTAATAACTTTTAAATCAGATGTTCGTAAAGTATCCTCTATTCTTGTGGAGCGGGCCGAACGCATCGATAGTAGATAGATGCATCTATGGTTTGTGCAGATCGATCCTTGGCAGTGTACACATTATTCTGGATCAGGTCGTATGACATCGACATAATCTTGCATGATAACGCTCGGAGTTTAATTATATATTTGATATCTTTTCATGGCTTGAGAGGCTAAAATTATATGAGACAGTAATCTATTTGGGACTTACCATGTGTGAAAGAATTATTTACTTCCTACTGGTTATTGAGTTGTTGTTGTTGTTGTTGTTGTTATTATTATTATTATTATTATTATTATTATTATTATTATTATTATTATTATTATTATTATTATTATTATTATTATTATTATTATTATTATTAT